CACACACACACACACACACACACACACACACACACACACACACACACACACACACACACACACACACACACACACACACACAGGCCCTGGCAGGCCTGCAGCTACACACCCAGCCCCTCCTCCACCTCCTGGCCCTGCAACCAGAGCCCTGGGCCAGGCACCAAACACCTCGGCGCGGAACACGAGCCGGGGCTGCAACTCAAGGCCGCCTCCAGCCTGCTCCGTCCCGCGGGCACCTCACACCTTGTCACTGGCCCTCTGCGCTTGCACGTCCCCAGGGCCAGCTCTTGGTGGCCGTGGGCCCCGTGAGGTTCTCGTGCTCCCTGCCCCCCAGGGCTGCTCCAGGCCGTCCATCCGCACTCGCAGACCGGGGTCACCCAGAGCCGCAGCCTCCCCACCCTCAAGAGCCTGCGCCGTCGGGTGCCGGGCCGACGGGCTGGGCCTGGGCCTGACCTCCGGCTGGCGCTCAGCACGTCCGTGATGTTGGAGAACAGGTGGTGGTGCTCTGTCTGGGTCATGGTCGCCCGCAGCTCCCGGGACTGCAGGAACTCGGCCACCAGGATGCCGAGGCTGTGCTGGTACGAGAACTCGGACGTGAGGATCTCGAAGATGGCCTGGGGCGAGAGCAGAGCGGACGCTGGGGCAGCTGCGCCCGCCAGGCCCTGCCCGGAGCTGCCCTGCCACACACGGGGCCTGGCCCAGGGTGCGCGGATGACAAGTGCTCAGGCCGCGGGGATATGATCGGGGGGCAGGGGGCAGGTCAGGACTCGGGCCCCCCGGACGGGTCGCTGGCTGGGGCCATCAGCGCGGCTGTGGGGACGTGAGCCCGAGTCCTGGGCTTGCACTCTGGCTCGGCCACTGATGAGCTGTGGCGCCGGCAAGGGATCCCACCCTTGCCCGGAAAGTGAGTAACGGTAGCTCCCCCAGCTCCCACCCCAGCCAGGGCATCAGCCATCGCCGGGTACCAGGAGGCAGCCAATGGGCGAGTGGGCGACGTCGCCAGGGCTGTGGTCCCCGCGCCCCCCACCGGCGTGTCAGAAGCAGGGCCACGCCCCCAGCCCACCCCTCACCTCCTGCCTCTCGTGCTCCTCGGCGGGCAGCGTGTCCAGGATGCCCGACTCCACCACCTGAGGACGGCACGGGCTCGAGTCACGGGAAGCTCATCCTGCCACCGGGCCAGAGCCAGCACGGAGCCAGAGATGCAGGGACATGCAGGGGACATCGCCCCTCGTGGGACATCTGGGACCGCCGAGTTGGCCCGTCCCTGCTCGGTCCTCTCACCCAGGTCTCTCTTCTCCAAGGACACCTCCCTCCTTAGAGGGGCCCTAGGGCAGCCGAGAAAGGGCATGGGCGTCCGGAGGGAAAGGCCTCTCCAGGGGTGGGACGGTGGCTCTGTCCCACAGAGCTGCCGGGGGCTGGGAGGTGGTGGAGAGACTCAGAACCACCCGGGAAAGCTGAGGGGTGTGTGCTGAGCACAGGGCCACGACTCGGGCACACCTGGGCCAGGTGAGCGAGCACCCTGCCCGGAGCTAGGGGTGACACTGCTCCAGCATGGCACACTGTCCCGCTCTCCACCCCTCAGGCCCCCTGGCCCCCGGCTGACCCGGCTGGAGTGTGGTTCACTCGGCCACAGTATGCCCGCCGAGTGCCTGCAGAGCCTGCCGGCGACCCTCTGCAGGACCAGGGCCACCCGATTCGTGCTCCCCTCCCCACCGGGCTGGGCGGAGGCTGCCAGCAGTGCTTGAGCTGGGAAGGTAAATCCTATGCGTCCTCGGACCCAGAGGCTTGGCCGAGACACCTGAGCTCAGGTGACGGGAGCAGAACCTCCGGCAGCGTTTCTAGGATAAACTGTCCTGGATCCCATCCCCGACCCGGGAGGTTGCGCACACGCACCTCCGGGCACGCAGCTGGCACCTGGCAGGGGGGGAACACACGTGCACTTCCGGAACTTTTTGTCTGCCTGCCCTAACCCCCGCCGCGTCTTGGGCCCTCCCTGGCCGGCGGCCCCATGGCATGCAGTGTCCTGGACCTCGGCGGGCAGTCACGGTGCCTCGGCCCCTCTCCTGCCCCACGGGATGCAAATGAGGCCTGTTGTACCGCAGACAGAAGGAACAGCCAGATGCCCCTCCCTGCTGCCCACCGCGCCCACAGCCCGCACTGCAGCTCCGTCCCTCGGCTCCCAGGGGACGGGGTCAGGAGTCTGTCTGCCCCACGGCCAGCTGCACCCTCCTGGGGTAGCGAGAACTGCCTTCCTGGGTACCTGCTTGGAGCACCGGCGCCTCTGTCCCAGCCACGCTCTCCACCGAGAACCCACAGCCCTGCGGGGCAGGGACCAGCCCCATTTTCAGATGTGGAAGGTGAGGGGGTGCCTGGCAGTGGCGTGCAGCTCCGGCCAGGCCTCTCCCCTCCCCTCTGGCCTCCTCACTTGGACCCTCCTGGCACTTTCTGGGCACAGCGCCCTGGGAGGAGGTCCCCTGTGCCCCCAGGTCCCTACAGGTCAGCCTGAGCAGGGAGCTCAGGGAGGGTGAGGGGCTCACCCGTGGGACGACCGTCACACACACACAGATGACACATGCCCCTAACCCCTCTCCCCACCGCAGCGACCACCCCCACGGGGCCCCGCAGGGCAGGGCAGCTCTGAGGCACCAGGAAGATCTCCCTGCCAGCTGGGCGCAGACGGGGCGTTTCCAGGAGGCCGCTCCCCTCACCGGGAGGACCACGCACGGGGTCGGGAGAAGGGCCCCTCCCCGCCATCCCGGCCCCACCTCTGGGAGCTGGCTCCAGGTGACCTGGGGGGGCCGGTAGCTCTTGACCACGATGTGGGCATCCACCTTTTGGGTTCCCTCAGGGCTGGAGGACTCATCGAGTAAGTCATCGTCGGACTCGTGGATGGTGTTCAGGCCTCGCTCCCGGATCTCCTGGTAGAACCGGGGATCTGGGGAGAGGGGGTGTGCGTCACCTACAGGCCTGGGGGCTCTGAGCGGTCCTGGCACCCTGGGAACCCACACGCTGAGTCCTCCCGAGGAGGCCCTGAGAGCGTCAGGTGGTACAGGGCCCCCCAGAGCAGGCTCCCCTCGGGCCGGCTGGCTCCCGTGGCTGAGCTGGCCGAGCCCAGGGCAGGGGTGGCATCCCCTTGCAGAATGTGGCACCTTCATTCTGAGCCAACACATCAGAGAGTGGCACGGGCCAAACTGCACGGCCTTAGGGAGGGGGACTGGGCAGCGGACGTCCCCAGGTCGGCCGAGGGCGCTGGAGGCCGCCTCCTGAGAGCCCCCCAGCCCGAGGTGAGGTTTCCCGCTCTCCGGCTCTGCAGTGGCCACGCGCTCAGCAGCCCCGCCAGGCGGGTGCGTGGCTCGGGATGGCTCTGAGGCAGCCCCTCCTTGCAGCTCCCTCCCACCCTGGCTCCGAGACCTGGGGCATCACTGCTGCTGTCCTGGGGGACGAGGCCCGATCCTGAGGCCTCCCCACGCCCGGACCTGTGGCTGTCCACAGAGGTTGGGGCTGGCAGGGAGGGGGCCCTTTCTGGCTGGGGCCCCTTACACCCACTGGCTGTGCATCCAGGCTGGGCGGGCACCTACCCGCCAACTCCCATGGGGTCCTGCTGGCACCCACCCCTCGGCAGGCTGAAGGCACTGCTCCGGGCCCTGCCACAGCCCAGGTGTCACCCACGGCCCTTGAGCCTTTAACACTGGGTCCCTGTGGCCTGTGTCTCTGCACCCCAGGCCCAGGGCCCTCTGCCTGGCCTTGGTCCCACTGGCAGGGCCTGGTGCACACAGTGTGCTTGACAAACATCAGCTGAGGGAGAGTGTGGAGGCTCTGTCTGCCCGCTGCCCCTGGGACAGCACAGAGTCCAAGGGAACTTTCTAGGCCCATCAGGGCTGCAGGGTCAGACGGGTCACCAGGCCCTCCAGTCCCCAGAGGGAACCCAACCAGCACATAGTTCTCCGTCTCCCCCAGGATGCCCGAGTGAGACCAGCCTCCCCAGGGCCCAGCCCGGCCGCAGTGCCGCCCGACGGCGCCCCTTGGCCACACTCACCGTCCTTGAAGGAGCCCTTGTGTGCGCGTTTCCGCCCCAGCGTCTTCTGTGCAGAGAGACCCAGAGACACGGGCAGTCAGCAGGGAGGAGGGGCAGCAGGCAGCAGTCCCTGCACCTGGGCCCAGAGACCAGACCCTCCACATGTGACGCCGCGCCCAACACGAGGGGTCTCTGCTGGGCATGCAGAAGGTGCTTAATAAACGTCGGCTCCACAAGGAGACGGGGCCACCAGGCAGAGGCCAGGGCAGGTAGGACGGGGTGGGATGGGGCTCAGAGCAGGCAGGGCAGGTGACCAAGGGCTGGGCAGGCGCAGGAGGGCTGCCGAGAGGGGATGCTCAGGAAGGTGGGCCTGGAGGGAAGCTGAGGCAGCGCAGGTGTGGCTGGGAGATGGCCTAGAAGGGACACTGGGGTGGGAGCTGGGGCTGCACGGGGGCCCCACGAGTCTGGGACCTGGGGTGGCAGGAAGAGCAGAGCCTGGCAGGTTGGCGTCCAGCTCCAGCACAGGCCCGGGGTCCCAGCAGCTGCTGGTGGGGCTGCAGGGGTGAATTGGGGGTGGGCAGGGCTCTCAGGGCCCCATACCCTGGTCCTTCCAGTTGCCACTAAGAGCCCGCTTCCTTGGCTGGGACACCATTTCCCCTGACCCACAGGTGCACGGGTTCCAGAAAAGCGGGAGCTGGTTTCTCGAAATAAGTTGGAGCCTGAAACTCCCTGTGCTGGTCTGGAATGTGTGGTGCTCTCAGGCGCACCCGGCTCTCCCTGATGCCCGCCCGGCACCCCCCAGCGCCCCCACCCCTTCTACCTCCAGGCCCGGGCACCCGCTGTTTCCGCAGCCCGTCCTCCACCTGCTCCCATCCTGTGTCCATGCATCTATTTTAACCCTCTCTTTTCCGGGACCCCTGCATCCCCCCGGCCCTGAGCTCCTGGGGAGCCCCACCTCTATGCTCTCTCAGCACCCTGAGCACCCCCAGCCCAGCCACGGGGCCCCACCACCCTGGGAGCTATCCTGGGGCCTCTGCTCACTGGGTGCGTGAGACCTCAGGAAACGTTGGCTGGCTGCATGCATCAAGCATGAATGAACAACAGGGTCCTGGCCCTGGGTGGGCGTGGAGGTGCCAGGGTCCAGGCTCTCTGGCGTGCACCGCAGGGGCTGTGCCCTGCCTCACAGGCCAGGGTTGTCTCTAGCCCAAGGACAGCGGTCCTCCCTGCCCTGCCCCTCTGCACGCTGGGTCACCAGCATTCTGACAGGTGGTCTGGGCTTCTCCCCAGATCAGGGCCAAGGCTCATGGTCTGGGCAGAAGCCCGTGGTGGAGGAGGCCACCGGGACGGCGCCTGTGGGCACAGAGAGCCCTGAGCCGGCGGTCAGGCAGGGCAGGGAGGGAGAGCGTGCAGGGCAGCATGCGACTTCTGAGCTGCCACAAGCCCTCCTGAGTCCCCGACGGGCGCCCCTCGGGCAGACAGATCCCAGGCCAGTCCATGCTGCAAAGCCATGATTGAAATCTGTCCTTCAGATGGGCTGGCTCCCCCTCCGTGCTCAGAGGGACTTGGAGAGAAGGGCTGGTTCCTCCCCAGGCTCCGCTCCCTGCTGTGGCTGAGAGCCGGGGTCCTGGCTAACACCTTCGGTCTTCCTGAGCCTCAGCTGCCTCATCTATAAAATGGGGACATTCACACTCTGCTCACGGCCTGGCTGTAGAGCTTAACTGGAATAAACCCTCCCAGGAGCCTGCACAAGGTGCATGGCTGCATGATGATGTGAAGGTGTGTTCGGGTCCCTTCCCTGCCCACAAGCTCCCGAGGCCCCTTGAGGCACGGCCCCCGCCCCGTTGCCCAGGCAGATGAGCCCCCTACCTTATTTTTGGCCGTGGACCGAGCAGGAGGCTGGCTGGGCTCCTCCTCGGCCAGAGCCTGGATCTTGGGGCTGAGCTGGACAGGGCCGTACTCGCCGCCAGGGGTCCCCAGGCCCTTCATGGCTGCCCGGTAGGATTGGTTCCTCAGATTTCGTTTCAGCATCCCCCCGGGACCCGTGTCCACGTCCATGTCGTCCAGGGAGAAGCTGGGGGCCGGGAGGAGCCGGGGGTCCCGCCGGGCAGCCTCTTTGCTGAGCACGGCCGCCCCAAAGCTCTGATGGCGGGCCGGGGTCTTAGCCTTGCTGGACACAGCCAGGCTCCGGGGGATCAGCTGCTGAGTGCCCATCTTGAGGGCTGCCGGGCTCTGTGTGCTCAGGACGATGGTCCTGAGCTCCTGGGCCTCAGGGGACGGCGACGGGGGCACTGGGGTGTCGGGCTGGAAGGCGGCATTGCTCCTGCTTTGCAGGGAGCCCCGGACCATCGGGAGCCCGGACGCTGGGTTTCCCTCGGTGTCGAGCTGCAGCTCTGAGTGGAAGCGGTATTCCAGGAGCTTCTCCTCCAAGGAGCTGTCCGAGTGCTGCTGAGACATGCTGAGTGGCCGCAGGGACCTGGGGGAAAGGACAGAGGTGAGGGCAGCCCTGCTGCAGCCGGAGCCCGAGGTATGGCTGCCAGGATGCGGTGCTCCAAGGCTGGCTTCGCAGGCAGGAGCTGAGCTGCTATGCCCTGTACCTCACTTTAGAAATCTGTAAAATGGGTACAATAATAAGCACCCAGCTTCCTGAGGATGCTGGGAAAGGTGGGGAGCTCATACACATAGCGTTTGAACAGGGACCTGGCCGCCGAGGGGCTATGGTGTCACCGGTGCCGAACAGAAGGTTATCTGTGATCCTCAAGAGGAGCGGCTGAAGGTTTAGAACTTCATACGATCCAAACGTAACATGGAGAGAACTCACTCCTTTCATTCTTTCCCGTTTACTTTTAATAAGAACAAGGATAGCCACCACTCATACGCTTCTTATAAATGCAGAACTTCTGAACGTTAAAATTACAAGGGCCGGGTAAGGGTGGAAGGCTTTTTCAGATGGAGAACTAAGATTCTAAGTCACCCGCCCAGGTGGCCCCGCTGGGAGGGAACCTCGGCTCAGAGCTTCACCACAGCGTCCCGTGCCACGTCCCCTGCGGACCTGGGGAGGACAGCTGACCCAGGAGTTTATCCAGCAGCTCTGCGGGGTGGGAGGGCACGCCCTGCTCTCTCCCACCTGGGTGCACGCAGCCGGAGGGGGCTAGGCCTGGGATGGTGGGCGCCACCAGGGACCCACTGTCTGTCCCCGGACCCACCTGGTGGGTTCCAGCCCAAGCACACCTCACACACACACCTTGGGTCCGGGTGCTTCCCCCTGGAGGTTCTGAGCTTCAGCCCAGGAATCCCTCTGACAGGAGGCCGGGAAGGTCTGGCCACATGGGGTGGCCTAAATCACGGCACAGTGGGAGCGACTCGGGCCCCCAGAGGCCTGGCTCTCCGCCCTGCTCTGCTGCCCCAGCTCCCAGATTCTCGGCTAAAACCATCCCAGGAAGGTGTGCCGCAGCTCAGCCTCCCGGGCCGCAGGGAGGGGCTGCCGCTGGACCCCTGGCCACGCCCACAGCGGGAGGACGGCCCACGCATTCCTGAGGACATTCTGAGTCCCCAGGCCTCCCTGGGCGCTGGCAGCTGTGGGTGGGTCTGCACCTTCCTGGGTCACCCTCCCCGTGTTAACTTGGCTGCACCGTACCCAGGCCTGGCCGAGAAATGGGTTTCTTACAGGTTTCCATCAATGCAGGCCAAGCAAATGCACCCCAGTGGGCATCCAGGAGACATCCAGCTCCTGAGTCCTTTTTTCTAGCCACCATGTATTTCCCATGGGGGTGGTTTACATTGTATAACACGCAGGTGGCACTTAGAGGTCCACACGGACACTGTGGTGCCTGTGACCCCTGCCCGCCCCATCCCCTCATTCTTCCTCCTTCCTTTCCCTCCTCCCCATCTCAGGCCCCAGGCCTGAGTCCCCTCCTCTGAGCCCAGGCCCCAGACCCAGCCAGTGGCACACGTCCTCTCCCAGGAGAGGGCAAAGGCTCTTCCGGAGCCGGAAGGTGCCAGACGGAGCCTGTCAGGCCAGCCCTTGCTGGGTGTGATCTCGGTTCCAAAGGAGGCAGCCGCACCCACAGGCCTCGGGCGCCACCAGCCCGGGACGCAGGCCTGAAGGGGAGGGGCACTGTGCCAGGGCCGTGGGTCACTGCCGTGGTCTTGCACGAGCTCCAGGACCCGGGCCCGGCTGGAGCCGACTCCTAGGGTTGCAGCTGTCGCAGGACCCCTGTCCTCTTCCTCCCACTGCTTAGCTAATCACAGAGCTACATGGGCATAGGTTCAAAGGTCAAACAGCACCGAGAGGAGAGGCTTATCATCCAAGATCGGGGAGTCCCCTCCTCCGCGCCACCCTGTCCGTCACAAACCACCACTCCTGGCTTTTCAGCTTTCTCCCAATTTCTAAACAAGCCCCACTTGCTATTTTGAGATCTCCTAGCCTGGAGCATCACTCACCCTCTCCTGGCTGTGTGAACGAGGCTCCGCCCCCTGCTCGGCCATGCCCCGTGGGTGTTTGTGTTAGCAAGGCCGCCCTCTTGTTAATAATTCTCTCTTGTTTACTGGCTGGCTTTCTTCCTGTTAATTTTCCCTCCTACATTCCAGCGTCCCTGCCCTGGGCATCTGGATCGTGTGCTCCATAGGGTCCGAGCATCAGTCCTCTCTCCCCAGGCCCTCCCTTCCCAGCTCTCAGGGCAGGAGCTCGGCCCCGACCCCCACCCGGCATCCTGGCCCCCCCTTTCTTTCCTCGCCTCTTGCTTGCCTTCATTTCAGCCCTAGCAGCACAGGGGCTCCAGGAGGACAGAGATCGATGCTGCTTTGTTCAGACTGTATCTCTAGAGTATAAGGTTTGCCTTTTCCTTCAAGCGAGCGCCTCACAGATTAATGGTCATTCAAAGCAAGGGGGCAGCGGTTCCAGCCCCCCCGCCCCCCCCCCACCGGCATTGAGCTGGGGCCCAGCCCCTGGCACCTTCCCAAGGCAGAGTCACGGGAGGGAGACCTCTGAAAATGTCTTCTTTATGCCTTTAGAGTTCCACCGGAGATTATTTTCTTCCAGAATGGAGAAGCCTTCATCCCTTGCCTTCCAGCTTTCACTGCCAACGAGCCATCCGACGCCGGTCTGACTTCACCGCCTTGGTCACGACAGGAGGCTCTCTTTCCCCCTGCTCCGCTTCACCGCCTATGGGGACAGGCACGGCGCCGGATCCAGTTCACTCCCTGAGCCACAGGCTTGTGCCTCCTTCCCACCTGTTTTAGGTCCGCATGTTTTCCGGTGTCTGTTTGATAATTTCTCCCACCTCCGTTTGCTCTCCCTCCGGAGCAGCCTTCAGAGAGGCCTCATCTCCGACCTCTTCTCCTTTGTCTCTTGTTCCCCTTCCTGGGAGATTTTCCCACCTTCCCGCCAAACGACTGCTGTTTTCATGGCCCCACAAAGAGCTCTCTCTTGCTCTTTATGCAGAGCAGCCTGTTCTTGTTTCACAGATGCCACATCCTCTTTCAATGTCCCAGGCAGCTGTCGGCTCCTATTTAGGAGACAGGCATGTTCTGGTGGGAGACCCGTGTGCCCTGTGAGCACACACACACGTGAGCACACACACGTGAGCACACACACGAGCACATGCTTCTGCCTGGCAGGCTCTTTGGGACTCCCCACGGGGTCCATGTCTGGAGGCTTCTCCTCTAGCCAACTGGCTCTAAGAGCATCTCTTTCAGCATCCTCACTGGATGCTGGCCCTTGCCTGGTATCCTGCAGCCAGTGCAGGGGAGGGCTGAGAGCACAGTCTCAATGGCGGCCATGTTCTGTGGGCAGCAATGCCACTCAGAGAGAGAGACCAGACACCCGGCAGTGACCACTCGAGCCACAGAGGCAGCTCTGCTCCCCAGCAAAGGCAGCCCTGGGACGCTCCCCCACCGATGCCCACGGCAGTGAGGGCCGCGTGCTGTCCGTACGTCCCTCCGTCTCCCCAGTGAGCCTGTGCGTCCTTCAGGAGCAGGGATGATTTCCTGTTTACGTCCCCACAAACAGTTGGGCTCAATTCGCAAACTGATGTGTGAACGCTGATATCGTGGGCACCTGCCTGGCTCTGCTCTCCCTGGAACCGTGTCTTCCTTAAGAGGCCTGGGTGTTCCATGTGGAGAGCTAGCCCACCTGGTACTTTGCTGCAGGCGTGCCGAATCCACCAGGGCAGCTCCACAGGGGCTTCTAGACCCATCTGTGCCCCCTCCTGGGTGACGCCTGCTGTTTCTGCTCAGGGTGGGCTGGGGAGGGCCCCTTACAGCTGAGCCCTGGGAACCACAGCTTCTCCCTTTGCCACTAAGCAGCCCTTCCCGGTGTCCCCAGCACATGTACAGGAGTGGGTAAGGGGCAGGCGGGGCTTGGGTGGGAGGAGCGGGGGCTGGGAGTCCACAGGTGGAGGTGGGGGAGGTCTCTGGCAACCTCAGGTGACCCGACCCAGCCTCTCTGGTCCTACGTTGCACTTGGCCCTGCCCTGGCTCTGCATTTCACGCTGGCCTGGCCCACAGGGCCCCTTGCAGCCCAGCACCCCTGGAGTCCTCATTCCTCTTGACAGGTGGTCTTCCCAGGACCCCAGCAGGCTCAGCACCGTCCCTCCTGCTGCCCTGAAGAGCACAGCCCTCCTGGCCTGGGCCTGGGGCTTTGGTCACAGCAGCTCTCACAGCCACCAGGACCCAAACCGCACCCGAGTATGGGACCTGCCAGGGTGACGTCACCACAACACCTCCATCCGTGGGACGTCTGTCCCTCTAGGTCCAGCTGACGGGACCCTGCCTGGTGGGGCTTGGCCTCCCTGGCACCGTGCACACGACCCCATCTTTGCTCAGACAAACTTGACCCACAATGATGGCCTTGTGTTCGGGTAATTCTGCCCGGCCAGGTTCCAGACTTGGAGTCACATGGAATTTGGGGCAGGATTTGGCTTCGTAAACCATGCAGCACGTAGCAAACAGTTCTGTCTGCAGGGTGGCCAAGGGCAGCTGGGGGCTCTCAACCAGAGCAGCTTGGCCCCCCAGGGGACACTTTGCCGAGTCCGGAGACATTCCTGGTGGTCACAGCTGGGGCTGAGCTACCAGCCTCTTGTGGGCAGAGCCCAGGAACACTGCTCAATACCCTACAGGGCCCAGGACCACCCACGACAAGGAATCATCTGGAACAAATGTCTGCAGTGCTGAGGTAGAGAAACCTCGGTTCAGCTAACTGGAGATTCACCCGCCTCCCTGGAGGTTGGGAAGACCCGCCTGGCCGTCCTCAGTCCAGGACACAGCCTGGCAGTGGGAGGGGCAGTGGCAGGCCTCGCGCTCCTCCCACCCCGAGCAAAAGCCTCCTGCTGTCTCCTTCCTATGATGCCTCTGGGCACCGGCAGGCTCAGCCCGCAGTGCCCACCCAGACAGGCCCACCCATGGCTCCCATTCCTGGCTCTGAATCCAGCTGCCCCATAAACCCAGCCCCCGTGCCAGGCTTGGCTGGCACACACAGTGTTTCCCCAGAGGAGCTCCGGATAAGAAATCAGAGCCCTGACTCCGCCTGGTAGCCTGGACAGGTGAGCCACGGGTGTCCTCTAAACACCTTCTCTCCTTGTGTGTCTAGCCCCTCAGGGATCTTCTGGACGGCAGGCATTTCCCTGCTCTGCTAGGTGAGGAAACCAGGGGCAGAGGGAATGTAACCTGCTGAGGTCAGGCTGCCAGTCAGCGGAGAGCTGGGCAAGGAGCCAGGCCCTGTCCTGACCCAGATCACCGCCCCAGTGGGCCAGCTGGGTGAGTGGCGACTCTCACTGGAAATAAAGATGCTGGTACAGGCGGCCGGTCGCCCGAGCGCGACAACTGCCACAGGCGAAAGAGAGGGGCAGCTGAGATCCATTCAGAAACTGAAACTAGAATTCCAGGACCCAGCCACGGAGAGTGGCCGTGCCCATCGGGTCACACATAGACTGGCATCTCAGGGGCCCCACCGGCAAGCCACGTCACTCCACCTCACTCTACACCTGGTTTCCTCTCG